CTCAGCTTCAGGATCTGTCCTTCCAGTGAGCACTCAGGGTTGATTTCCTTTAGAATTGATAGGTTTGTTCTCCTTGCAGTCCAGGGGACTCTCAAGAGCCTCCTCCAGCACCACAATTCAAAAGCATCAATTCTTGGGCGGTCTGCTTTCTTTATGGTCCAGCTCTCACTTCCATACAACACTACAGGAAAAACCATAGCTTTGACTATTCGGACTTTTGTTGGCAAGGTGATGTCTCTGCTTTTTAAGATGCTGTCAAGGTTTGTCATCGCTGATTAAATATATATTAATATTGAAAATATTATAATTCATTAAGTGGTAGTATGAATTTCACTTCTCATGATGCCTTGGAAGGACCCCCCATTTTCCGGCTTTCCCCACCCCCACCTGCCCGCCCGGTATTTTGAAAAAAAGCCTCCATTGAATTTATTTTTATTTTTTTAACATGACTGTTTCTTGGTCGGTTCACTAAGAGACATTTATTGGCAGCTATTGTAATAAAATTGTATTGTTTGTGGGTTTAATCTGGAACAATTCAAATGAAACATTCAATATGTCCTCCTTTGTCCTCCTTTTTGTCTTTCTATGTCCTCCTTTTAGTACCCGTGTCTCTGGCAACCCTAGTTATGGCTGTTCTCTCTCCATTAACATTCATTAAGTGGTACAGTAGTATGAATTTCACTTCTCATGATGCCGCGGTCTATGCTCACCAGTTTATTTCATGTACATGATCCAAGTGAAAATACTGTAGGTATTTTTGATAATATATATATTTTCTTGTGACTTAGGTCAGTGACCCGCTCTTATTATCGGAACTCTGCTGGAGGAGTGCTGGTGTTTGACCTAACAAACCGAGCATCCTTTGAAAATATCAAGAAGTGGCACCAGGACGTGATAGATACAGTGAAGCCCCAACCTGTGGTGTTCCTACTTATTGGTCACAAAAGTGACCTGGAGGCGGAACGGAAGGTTGGGCAAAAAGAGGCGGAGAAACTGGCCAATTCGTTGTCGGCAAAGTACATTGAAACGTCAGCTAAGAGCAACAGGAACGTGAAAGAAGCTTTCCAGACATTAACCTTGGGAATCTATGAATCCCTGAAAAGCGGGAAAATGTGGCCCGATGAACATTGGGATGGGATCAAAAGCAAGAGGCCACTCATCACCCAGCCTGAAGTGCCGGCACAGGGAAAGACAAATAAATGCTGGTGCTAGCAGAAGGCAGCTTAACGGACAGTATCAGGTTGATAGAGGGATTTTTAATACCCAGGGAGAACTTCTTTCCTTCTCTCTGGGATGCTCGGTCTCCATTTGGCCATAACAAAGAGCTGCTTTCGGGATAATGGGAGGTCAGCAAAGAGATGCTGTGAGTAGAATCAGGGTTGAAGTTAAGGTAGTTGTATCGATTAATTTCCTTGGGATGCCCTCAGCTTCCCCCCGCCAAAAAAAGCCTGCATCAACTTCCTCCATCATTTTTGTTGTTTTGATATTGTATTCCTAGATCTATCAGAACCTGACAAGGATACCTCTATACTTTTTCTAGCTTGCATTCACTTGTTGAATGTGTTACACTTTTTATTTTTAAATGTAATAAATTTTCATTCCTTAAATATAACTCCGTCTGTTCGTGCATTCTGCTTGGTTCACCTCCCAGAGCGTGCCGGCTAAGGAGGGCTTAATCGCAAGCCCTAGGCTGGGACTATTTCTGTCTTCCTTTGTTGTGTATTGACCCTCAGTAGAATCCTTCCCATCTCTTGGAGAAGGAGCTTGAAGGAGGGAGGGGTAGTTGCAGCTATAATTTTTTTTAAAGTACCAAGTAAGCTGTTCTGTCTTTTTTTCATACAAGTTGGCTGAGGATAGAAGCTTTACATCTTTATAGGATGTTATACCAGCACAAATTTTGCTTCTTCAGTGCTCATCCAGCATTTAGGACAGTAAACCTTAACCCATCCACTGCCCTGTGATTCTTCCTTCTAAAACCACGAGAATGCACAATTCTACTGGCAATTACTGTTGCACCTAATGGTCACTTCTATGTATACCATGGGTCTCTGGAAACATTTGTGGTACGGACCTGCTCAATGTGAAGTTTAACTTTATATCATGCATACTGTGCCTTTTCTTTACTCGTAATAAATTTTCATTCCTTAAATATAACTTTATATCATGGATACTGTGCCTTTTCTTTACTTATCCTTAATCCTGCTACCACCTATTATATGGGAATCAATACGAATACAAACCTCCAGAGAATAGACGGACCCAACACAATGTTCCTTGCTCCCATTGGCCTACTATATGAATTGTGAATATTCAATTCTTCTTTGGCCACTGGATCCGAAAACTGGCATGTGTTTTATCATAGCAATAAAAATTGACAGGTGATGCAACAAAGTCCAAGGTTAAGCAATTACCTTTACTGGAAAACTAAAATGTTACAAACAAGATGAGTTTTTGGATGCTCCAGGGCACATTAGGCAGACAATATGAAACTTACCCATCTGTAATAACCTTGGACATAATGGCACAGTGTTTCAACTCACTCTTAAACTCACATTTTATACCACCTTTGTCAGGGAGAGAGTTCTGGAGATCTCAAAGGTTTGCCTTATTTGTAACCTTTTAGTGATCCAATAATCATTACATTACACTCAGAATTTATCTGTTTCTGAAGAAATAAAACTTAATGCCTTTAATACCTATCGCGTCCCCCCCCCGCCAATCTCCTAGTAAGATGGACACTTCAGGTTTTACATATAGGTAGGTTCAGACTATAAGATATCTACTATGTATCAGGGCTTTGCGTATTGTTGAAAAAATTCTGCAAGATGACCTGAATTCTGTAACCTGTCACTAGTTCCCCTCTTTTCTACATTTATGGGGAAATAGAAACAACCATTAAAAAAAACATTTGGTTTATGAATGTGAGATATTGTGCTTCTGTGCCCATGATTCAAAAGTCAGGGAGTGGCCCAAGACTGCTGCAAAATATTATGCCTGTGCTGCCAGCAGGAAAAAGGATGCTAAGCTTTACATAGCAAAGGGGCCCCTGAATGTTGATGCAAACACCAATGGCAAGTCAAGATGGTCTACAGAAGTGGTTCCCAACCTTGGGTCCCCAGATGGTTCTTGGACAAAAACTCTCAGAAGCCTTCACCACTAGGTGTGATAGCCAGCATTTCTGGGAGTTGTAGTCCAAAACCATTTGGGAACCCAAGGTTGGGGACCCCTGGTCTGCAGGATACCCTCCTCTCTGCTCACTACAATCTGCAAAGTGAGAGAAAGAATTTCCTAGGTAGTACGGCAACAGGTTGAACAATTCTGAGATCTATAACCCAAAAATGTCATTCTTTGAGATGCCAGTTTTTACCTCCATGTCCATAAATGCAGTTTCCAAGCTACGCAACTTGAAACAAGTCTAGTTATGAAAAGGCTTTTTTCAGAAATAGACATGGCCTATGTTTGTTTTGGTATTCAATTTACTGACATAGAATGCAAAATCTGTAGCAGTAAGAATGACTATATAGAGAATATGCAGTATCTGAAGTAATTTCAGGATGGGCAAACGTCTGGACATCTAGATTGCAAATGGACAGGGCTAGACTCCATTCATAGCCTAATCCTTTGACCAAAGCAGTATCCGGGAAAGCCATTCCATAACTGTCTCTTGTTGCATACAGTACTGTCATGTTGCTTTCAATTTACGGTGACCCTATGAATTAGAGATCTCCAAAAGATACTATTGTCAACAGCCTTTCCTCAGCAATTGCAAAGTAAAGGCCATGGTGTCCTTTAGTCTTTCCATTTGTAATTTGGTCATCATCTTCTCCTGTTGCTTTCAACTTACTCCACCGTTATTGCCTATTCCAGTGAGTTATGTCTTCTCATGAAGTGCCCAAAGTACCATATGCTCAGCTTAATAATTTTTGTTTCTATGGAGAATCCCAGCTTGTTTTGATTTAGAACACGCTAACTTGTTTTTCCAGCAGTCTATAAAGCTGTCCTCCAACACATTTCAAATGAATCATTTTTTGATTCAATGTCCCCTACATAGTGCTTGAGAATATTATACTGTAAATGATGTTCACTTTGGTCTCCATTACACATCTTTGCACTTGAGATCTCCCAAACAAATTATAAAATTGCACCACAGAGGCAAGAAACATGTTTGTAGGGACAAAAAACCCCCCCAGCTGTGCTTGTTTGAATCAGGTAAAGGCATCTTCAATGTTAAATAACCCATCAGATCACTCAGTTGACTTCAGTCTGGCAACTGGTCTCAAACAGCAAGCAGAGAAACATCTGTTTTCACAAGTAGGAGTTAATGCTTTAAACCAAGAACAGAAATTATGTTCTGGAGCTTTTCATACTTGCTTACACTCCAAATAAATACTATGATCTTATTGACCAAATGATTCTAATTTCTTATTCAAAGTCTTAAAGCTATTCAAGATGTCACTTTGTCCAAGATTCATGAAAACAGCCTGAAATCAAAGTACATTAGTATGCTTGTTTATTGTTATTATTAAACAAATGGAAAATTGCATAAAAAGTGGCATGTGTATGAGAGATAGAAAGAGAGAGAAAAGCCATTGCTGGATGATTTAATGAAAAAATAGCCACACTTTAGAGGCAGATTAGTAAATCGACTGTTTGGCTTTCTGATTACTTCAGATCACTCACAGCAGCCTACCAAGTGAGACAGAGTGAGAGAGGTTTCTCAGCTGACAAGAAGCTTAAGAAAAAGGAAAAAAAAATTCAGGTAGTAAAATGTTTTGATAACGCATCAAAATCTGAGGTGACTGTTTTACGTTAATTTAAACCCTGATTTGAATTCCAGTGTGCTTTTGGATTTTTAAGGCTGGTGATTACTCTGCAGGCTTTCCACGTAATTATAGGATAGCTAAGCAAGCTGGAAATTTAGCAGACTCAGCTGTATACAAACCTCTTGGTGCTGAGGGCTGGTCTTTCTCACATCTCAGCCATTAAGGAGTGTCTGACAGTTTAATTTAAAAAAAATTCCAAATAAAAAAGTTTCCAAGTAAACCACCCTTACAGATCTTTTTAAAAATCTACCTTGCTTGGGTGGGTTTCTGCTGACAATAGAAATAACAGACCACCACATGAGAATTCCACTTGCTACAAGCTGAGCATCCAGAAGGAGTGAATATCTGCTCTCCGTCTTTGCTTTTTGCAGCCCGTGTCAATACTACAACCTAGTTTCATCTTTATAATTCCTTTACTCATGAAACAAATCCAAATATCTATGAACAGCAACATTACAAACAGTAAAGGAAAAAAATGAAAAACATCTACAGCCACTTCTAATACTGTTGCCCAAAATACCAAAATATCCTGTCTCATGGACAATCACACACACCATAAATCACTTTGAAGGCAGAAAATAAAGTCTGTGTTTTTAGATAAATTCTGTTCTTTTTTAGGAAACAGGTTGGGGGTGGGAAGGCTTAGCAACTTTGTGGCAGATCTCCTCAGAAAGCTGATATAGCTGCACCGTTAAAACAAATGCTTCTCCACAAAGCATTAAAAAAAACACAATCCCACTGATGGCATGATGGATATTCTGCAGCTTAGGCAGGTTTGCACTTTCCATTTGGGCCATGTTCATCTCCCTGCCATTCCGAGGCTTTACTTCTTGGTTGTTTTGCGGATCAGTGCCATCCTCTGAAAACAAGACAGTGGGGAGAAAAGGAGGTCAGAGATACGCTCTTCCACTAAACTGCATTGAGAGTGTATTACTGGGATTTTAAAAGGTACCTTCAAAATGTCAACAACAAGCACCTTGAAGGCCCAAATCTTTGTAAGTGTAATCCAACTTATGTGCTGGTCCATGTCAAAAATTAGGTTGGGTTCAATTTCAGTTAACAGTTAAATCAAGTCCTAATTCTACAATCCAATTTGATATAATCATATAAATAATTTAAATCAAGAGCTAAATACCTACAGAATATTTATAAGCTCAGCTGCTTACATACATGCTTCTTGTCAGTTTAACGGTTCAGTGGGGGCTAGAATATGGATTTTACCAGTCGAACATTCTAACCACTACGCTACACTGGCTTTAATAATTTGCTTTAAGTCACCCAAAGAATGTTAATTACAGGACAGACCTATAAACTGTATAAATAAACAATCTTGAATGTGCTCTACATCTTAAATCATCCTGATGGTTTCGCACTTGAGATTACTGAAACAATCTTTTGGCAGGCCTTCCTTCTTTTTCACTATTACCCTGGTACATAATAGTGCAGTACAGTGGTGCCCCGCATGACAATGATAATCCGTTCCGTGAAAAGCGCTGTTTAGCGAAATCATCATAATGCAAAAACCCATTGGAATGTATTGAAACCCGTTTAATACGTTCCAATGGGGAAAATACCTCGTTGTTTTGTGGAGATTACCCATAGGGCAGCCATTTTGCGAGCGCCATTCAGCTGTTTTTAATCGCTGTCTTGCGAAAAAGGGACCAAAAACACCCGTTTTGCGAAGATCGAGCCACCAATCAGCTGTTTTAAATCGTCGTCTTGCGAATAAATGGTCTGTGAAGCATGGACTAAATTGTTGTTCAGCAAAATTCCCCCAATCACTGTTTTGCGAAGCAAAATGGCAGTTGCAAAACATCGTCATATGGATTCATCGTTTTGAGGGGTAATCGTCCTGCGAGGTACCACTGTACAAGTGATTTTAAACTTGACATATTACCCCCATATTTCCCATTATTGTAGGGCATTGCAATGGCTGCTTATCAGGCCAAGGCCATATTTTAAAATCCTTGTCTTGACATTTAAAGCCTTATGTTCTTCCTGTCCTAATTATTTAGCCGAGCTAGTGTCATGGCATGTCCCTCTTAAGAGGACTCGGTCCACAGAATCTGGACTTTTGTTGGTCCCTTGGACTAAGGTGGCAAATTCAAGGCTTTGAACATTTTTCCACTTGGCTCTAAAGCTGTGGAATTCTGAGTTTTGAAAACCTACCTGTTCAACTTGGAGCCATGGGTGTTGGGTGTAGGGAGAGGTTAGTGTCTGGTGTATTTTATTGAAACTTTTCAGTTAGTTTTTAGTACAGTAGTTGGTTAATACTTTTTCATCACTGCTTATGTTGACAAGTTTTATATTGATGTCCAAGTTCATACACACAGAGATATTAAGGTTGTGGTTCAATGTGTTGCATGTTTGTATATTTTGTTGGAATGCACTCTGTGGCAGAGCACAATAAATATTATCTTGCACCTAAACAAAGAAGAGTAAAAAGCTAGCTAGAATGGTGTCAATTGAAATGTTTTATCACACTGAAGGCTTTCTGCAATAGACATCCTACTTTATCAGGTAGCCATCATAGCTGATCAAACCCCGCTGGAAACCCCTGTCATGTAACAATTTCTCTCTCCTATAATTCCATTTGCTGGAATTGTATAAAACAATCACCCTGAATAGTGCACCACTCTCCTTAAGCAAGTCTGTTATGCTGAAGAAAAAGACGATACCTGTTTGTGAGCTTCTGTAGTGCAGGCTTTTTTATATGGCCTGATTTCTTCAGAACCAAAACCTGGGATCCACATATTCCATTGACGCTCTATAACCGAGAACAAAGTGTGGACAGGAGAAAGAGATGAGAATGAATCAAACAGAAAAGAAATGTAATAAGTAACCCCGGCAGTTCACTCTGTCTACTGCTTAAGGATAGCTCTATTACCCAATGGTCAAGAGAGTTGCAGAAAAAGCTATTTAAGTTAGGTCTTTCAGTAGAAGATGTGGATAGTTATGAGTACCTGAAGGTTAAATCCCTTGTGGTTCTGAGATTAATAGATTTGGACCTACAGCACTTAAGAACTGCAGCTAATAAATGATCTATAATAATAACTATGGACTCTTCATTGCTCCATACCTAAATGCATTGTCCATTCCAAAATATAGGAGCACATTTATGTTAGCTCACTTTAATGCATTGCCATCAGCTATATTAGATGGTCGATTTGGGGAAATTCCTTTTAATGACAACTTGTCCTTGTGGAAATGGAGAAATCGAATCAGTTAAACATGTTATTTTTCACTGCAGAATGTATGATGATTGCAAAAGGAAAAGAAATGTAATAAGCAACCCCGGTAGTTCACTCTCTCTACTGCTTAAGGATACCTATATTACCCAATGGTCAAGAGAGTTGCAGAAAAAGCTATTTAAGTTAGGTCTTTCAGTAGAAGATGTGGATAGTTATGAGTACCTGAAGGTTAAATCCCTTGTGGTTCTGAGATTAATAGATTTGGACCTACAGCACTTAAGAACTGCAGCTAATAAATGATCTATAATAATAACTATGGACTCTTCATTGCTCCATACCTAAATGCATTGTCCATTCCAAAATATAGGAGCACATTTATGTTAGCTCACTTTAATGCATTGCCATCAGCTATATTAGATGGTCGATTTGGGGAAATTCCTTTTAATGACAACTTGTCCTTGTGGAAATGGAGAAATCGAATCAGTTAAACATGTTATTTTTCACTGCAGAATGTATGATGATTGCAAAAGGAAGTTAATCTCTCCACTAATAGGTGTCTCTCTGCACAGCAGCCCTACAGATTTTTTACTGTCCTATTTAGAGGGTCTGTCCACTTATATTACTGGTAGGGTGTCTAGGTTTTTATTGATTGCTATGAGAATGACAGAGAAAATGTTGCAATCACCTTGAAAGAAGGATTCATCCATATAGGAGTGGTTCTGAGATTAATAGATTTGGACCTACAGCACTTCAGAACTGCAGTCTTGCTGGTCTGCGACCGTAATAAAGAATGATGATGAAATAAGCAGCAAATAGATGACAAACACCTTATGATGCCTAGTTATTAAGAGACTAAAACAGTGGTTCACGACCTTGAGTTCCCAGATGTTCCTGGACTACAATTCCAGAAATCCTGGCCAGAACAGCCAGTGATGAAGGCTTCTGGGAGTTTTAGTACAAGAACATCTGGGGACCCGTGGGTGGAAACTACTGAACTAAAAAGATCACGTTCTAGAAGAGAGTTTCCTTACATTTGGGGAGGAGGTGTAGCAGTGTTTAGTGGAGGTTTGCTTTTACATCAATGCTATGGAAGCTGTCTTTGTATGCCACTGTAAAACTGCTACTCCTATTATTCCTCCCAACGTGGGTTGAGGCAAAGGGCAACTACAATTCCATTTCTGGATAGTCATAATTGCGCCCTACATCATACAAGGGATAATTTCCAAATTGGCAGGAAGTGAACAGCTTAAAACCACCTGGTAGATCTGCAGACATGAAAGAATCACCATATTTATTTATTTATTGGACTTGTATACCGCCCCATAGCGCTACAAGCGCTCTCCGGGCGGTTTACAATTTTTAATTATACAGGCTACACATTGGCCCAGCAAGCTGGGTACTCATTTTACCGACCTCGGAAGGATAGAAGGCTGAGTCAACCTTGAGCCGGCTACCTGGGATTTGAACCCCAGGTCGTGAGCACAGTTTTTTAGCTGCAGTACAGTGGGGTCTTGACTTAAGAACGGCTCGAGTTAAGAACATTTTGACTTAAGAACCACTCTCTTAGGAAAATATTGACTTGACTTACATACTTAGATTTGAGTTAAGAACTGAAAAAAACCACGTGGGAGGCAGGGAAAGTGCAAAATTTGAACTTTCAGTTAACTGTTGGCCAGTGAAAAGGGTGTCTGTCTGCTTCCTCACTCCTCCCAGCGTTTATAGAGTGGATTGGGAGTCTTCAGACTGCCTGGACTGTATTTTCCCTGCCTTCCCTGAACCTTTCTTGACCTAAGGAAAAAAGAAACAAAATATCCCCCTCTAGTGGTCGAAGGAGGAATAGTAGCTTCCCATTAGTTTCTATGGACGGAAAAGAGCAGATACGGATCAAATGGTTTTCAATGCATTCCTATGGGAAATGCAGATTTGACCTGAGAACTTTTTGACTTGAGAACCGGCTTCCAATACGGATTAAGTTCTCAAGTCAAGACCCCACTTTACAGCGTTTTAACTACTGCGCCGGCTCTTATCAATATGACACTGGCAGGCGTGGAGAGCAAAAACGGTGAAGCTGCTGCTCTCCTTGTGCTTTGGACTTACCTGGTAGATCTGCAGACATGAAAGAATCGCCATATGACAATGGCAGGCGTGGAGAGCAAGAACGGTGAACCTGCTGCTCTCCTTGTGCTTTGGACTTGGAAGTCCCACATCCCCTTGAACTGTATTTGGAGGTCAAAGGTTTCCCACTCTTGTTGTACAACGGCCTTCATGAAGCAAACATGGTTCATGCACTGGAACTCACCAAGATGTAGCTGGACGTCTTTCACTTCCAAAGTATTGGCTTTGCGATGCCGTGCAAGCTGGCAGGCAGCTGTGACCACGCTTTCAATGAAATCATCTGCAATCTGCAGCAACATCTGCCAAGATATGGGAAACAAAAGCAACATTAGTGGAGCATTTCAGCATCAGATATAAACGTACAGTAACTGAAACAGTACTCGGTGTCAGAAGCTCTCACTGTTGAAACTAGTGAGGTACAAGTGAGACCAAGGAAATACATGGATTTCTTACTAACCACATTATACTGCTGATGCATCAGTGTATGGCCTCCTTGCATATTCCACAGAACAAACTAGTAGCACAGTAGATTGTCAGTTCAGGTGAGTAGGGATAAATACCAAGGGACCCGATACTACTCAAGAGTCAAGAGTGAGCATATTTCTAGCTCATTTCACCAACCACTTACCTCCTCCACATCTTCATCCAACTGCTCATTTGGATCCACCTCTCTGACAAGTTCCTGCAGTTTCTTCTTGGTTAAGATCTGGAAGCAGGAGAAGGGTGTTGACATGAGAACTAACATTAGTACAGTTGCAAAGGTTACATTATTCTAAGTTCTCCTCCTTAAGAAAACCAAAAGGTAAATGTTATTTATGTCTCCAACAGAGAGGAGGCCACAGTACAGATATGCTTTTACAAACTTAGAATGTTACGATATAGGCAAGGAGAAAATGACAATTTTATTACAAATGATAATATTTACTACCTTAGTTATTTTGAGTAAGGGAACAGTATATACCCACACCCACATTATTGTTCAAGAACAAAATATTTTCAGTAACAAAACTGTTGTATGACAGAAATATTGTTCCAGAAAATATCATTTATATCTAATAATAAATTTACTCTTTAATTTTAATGCCGCCAGCATCAAGAATTAATATTTGCTATATTTATAATAAACATTACATTGAGACATCTTTAAATTAGCAAGCTAAGGTCTTGACAGGAACGAAACAGCACTTGGTGGTCCTGAAGATGCTTGTTCTTCAATTATTTTCTCTGTAATGTCTAACTGGCAATCTAAATACAATTTACTGGCAAATGTGTATACTGCCAAAGAGGTGAATGTTCTTCCATTTCATATTTTCTAGTAAAATCCTGCCATCAGCTGTTGGTGTAAAACATCTATGAACACTACAGCTTAATGCAATTTGCTGCTGGGATTTACATTCCCTGGACAAAAGATGAGTAGAAAACACAGGGCGAAATCCTATTACACAATTACGGACATGCAACTCAAGGCTGCGCCAACGGTAGCTGTACAATCACCAAAGTGGAAATGTCACCCCTTAAGCACTTCTGCTGGCACACTACACATTGGTCGTGCCACGAGCATGCTACCACTTCTGCAATTCCACAGCACATATATTTGTTGCTGGATATAATGCCCAGCAAATTCCCAGCAGCATAACTTTACATCACACTGGCAAGAACAGGACACTGACCACGATAAGCTATAAGTTTTTGAGGTAATTTGTTTCCTTTTAACATTTACCCCATGAAACAGCTGAACCAGAACTTGGATGTAATTGCAATATGACTAGTATAATGAGGGATACCCAAGTCCTTTTGCAGTGTAATTAACTTTCCAGTTACTTTTACAATTATAAGGATGTGATCTATTTAATGATAGAAAAGGGCCACCACAAGGCTCATGTGCTGCCTCACGTTCCTCTGTGGATACTGAGGTAACAGTGCAATAAGACAGGAGAAGGTGTTCTGTATCAACCTATACTTTTGAGAAGTAGAAAACTAAAGGTCCTGTTATTAAAAAGTAAATATAACAGCAATTAATCAATGGGATATTGGAATTAATTAGTGTTAATAAGTATTTCTTCAAGCTTTACACTGAAAAAGCACAAGGCAGAGAGTTTCAGCAGTTCACTTCAGAAACATTTCACTAAGCTTAATTTTTTTAAGGCAGAGAGTTTCAGCAGTTCACTTCAGACACATTCAGGAGCATTTCACTAAGCTTATTTTTTTTTAAATCTAAGCACTGGCTTTTCCAACATCTCATGCAAAAATTACCTGGTTGCTTTCCGGACTGAGGCGTCCCCCACTGCTAGGGGTCCCTGGCATCTTAGCCACAGTGGTATTGTTAGCCATAGAACTATGTGGAGGAGTACTGGCTGGTTCTGGTTTGACCGAGGAGAAGTTGGATAAATTAATCAAGGTAGAGGGCCCAAACTGGCTCATAATCTGCTCAGCTTTAGCCTTCAGGTCATAGAGCTTGTCAAGATCCTGCTTCTTTTTGGGATTATGGGGGCCCAAACCAATCAGCTGAAGGAAGAAACAAATTCCAGTATGAACACGGTTATTACAGGTTTACAAAACAGCTTTGTTTGTTACCAGTTCTAAAAATCCAGTAGCTGGGAACCCATATTGCTGGTAAATCTCTGAACATGTATATGAAGAAAAGAACCTTCCAGAAGTTGCTGGAAATGCACTCCACAATATTTCCCATGTGCTATTCCACGCCAAGCTTTTCAAGTCTTGCTTTCCATCATCAGTTGCTTGTATCCAAACCATTGATAAAAAGGCCTCCTTCTGTTAGATTTGACTTGCACTGAAAGCAACTTTGAGCCCTCTTCGGTCATTCTGAATCTGGTATTAACAGAATTACAGAGGAGAAGGAAGGTTTGCTCTCCCATGCCACTCTCCTGATGTGGGAAGAGGCAGATCTGAAGAGAAGGGTCCTCCTCAGATGTAGACTACACTTCAGCCTTAGAAAATCTGGGTCCTTGCTTACCTGGAGAGTCTATATGTGTATAGGGCCCTTCTCTTCAGATTCATCATTGTTTGCATGAATGAAGGAATGACAAAGAAGGGGAGTGGGGAGCTCTCCACTGCAATCAATGATCATATATTAATGATTCCAGACAGAACAGAGCTTCTGTTAGTTCACAACTCTGAAATGTTTAGCACATCTCTGTAACTTTTTTGTCTAAGTTTTGTTTAAACAAATCTTTTTCCCTCTGTTTTTACAAATGCAACTCAGGGAAGATAAATAAATGAAAAGCTTCTCTGGTGAATGCAGAAGAAAGCTAATCAATGACGGTAATAAAGATTGATTGAATGCAGAAGAAAGCTTGGGTAACTGACCAGGACTTTGGTCATCTGGAGCCATCCCTCTATCTGAGTGAACATGGGCTCATATGTTACATATGTCACACCTTAAACTCACTGGAAGATACAATATCAAAGTAACCAATAAAAGAAATACATGTCACAACTTTCTTTGAAGACATTCTAAATTCTAAAGATGATTCTTTGCTATCCTAGAACTTGGTATTCCCAATGAACACATGTGAGTATCTTATCAAAATCTTTCTCCACCCACGGATACATGTCAGCATTGTTCATATGCTATCCAGTTCAAACGAACTGCTATAAGCATTTTACTGAGAAAAATCAATTTTTGGTGAAAGAGCGAAGTTCAAACAGGTAATTACATACCCTCACTTTTCAGCCTTAATTTACAAGCACATGGCATATACTGTAGTACACTGCTCTTAATTGCTTTCAAGTTACTCCCAGTTTTCCATAACATTTTATCCAACAACCTCATAACATAAGATAAAAATCATGTTGAACATATATTACCAAGCAGTAGTGAAGTCAATATGAGAAGCATACCGTATTTTGTTACTGTTTTAAAAGGAACATTCTCTGTTAGTACTAATCCACACAAGAATGCTAGATTAGAAAGATTTTACACAGCAACCATGCAGTAACACACTGTAGAACAACGTAGCTATGCTCAAAAGAAAGAAGATCCTGAGTTTGGATAAATCCTCAGTCTCATTTTGCAACAGGTTTGCCATCAAAAGTAGCATCTCCTAAGGAAGACAGAAGCAATATTATGCAGCTTCCTCTCCTCACAAGGTAAAACTCTACCAATAACTGAAGCTGGATGCAGTTTTTGTAAAGTGCTAGAGTCAGTACTTCATTTGTAGTACAAGGGACTCCAATTTGCACAAACACTACAACAAAACAAATCCACATCTGAGTAGATCTGTGATGATTATTCTGTAATGCGAGAAAGTCATTACGTTGAATCCAAACTAAGTTACTTATGATTTAATCCCACTGATATCAAATGAGCTTCCATTAAGACAATATATCACACTGACTTCACTGAGAATTAAGTGTGACCAACTTACTCCCATTAAGTATAACAGCCCAGCCATAAGAGTTGCAGTCAAACAGCATTTGGAATACTGCATGTTCTCCATATGATACATACTATTGTATACACTTAGCTGTGGTTTCCTCTTCAAAGAGTCACAAAACCAGCAGAGGAATGCATTCCATTCCACTGGGATGTGTGTTCTGTGCCATCAAGTCAGAAGAAACTTAGGGCAACCCCTAATAGGGTTTTCAAAGTAAGTGAGATATTTAAGGAGTGGTTTTACCAGTTTCACTCCCCCAGTGATTTTCCATGGCAATGTAGGGAGTCAAACCCTGTTCTCCAGAATCTAAGTCTGACACTCTATCCACAATACAATGGGAATCATTCCAGTGAGAAGGGATGGCCTATGGAGAATTCAACAGTCCTATGTGTCTCTGCTCAGAAGTAAAGTGCTATTAGATGACCAGAAGCGAGGAAATAGCAATTTTCCACAAAGAACAAGCCTAAACGCTGAGACTTGCAAATATTTTGAAAAGAAATTTCAAGACTCAACCCTATGACTTCAGATTAAGGACAACACATTCTTTAACCAACTGCTGAGGACTTTACTGAAGTTTCAGATATTAATAGAAAGGGCAATATGTTCTTGTAGTTTTGCCTACCATCACCACACTCTAAATTTGGCACATCAGGATTAACAAGATACAACAAGCCAGTCCGTAACTTCTCACCATGAACATGCCATATCATGGTGAGTTCAACCCAACTTACAGCTATCTGAGTGTTAAGATCTTTAATTACATCAGAGACTGCTGTAGGACCATTGAATGGAGAAGCCATTTGAGAGAGAGAGAGAAAGAGAGAAAGAAAAAGAAAAGAAAGAAAAAGTTCCTGCAAGCAAACATAATGGTTAACAAATTTTCCTCCGTCATTGCAAATCCTTAAAAATTACCCTAAAGTATTTTCCATTATTGTTACTACACAGGAACAATAGATGATCCAAGTAACCAAACCATATAACATAGGAGTCTATTTTTTGTTAAAATGGATCCATACAGGAAATTCAATGTTTTTTAATGCAATGTATTTCAAAGACAGGGTCCACGGGTTGATTCCTCACCACTAAAACCCATGAAAACAAAAAAAACCGAAAAAATGGGGGGGGGGGGGAGAAAGACCAGCATCTAGAAAAATCTGGTTTGGTCTTAACTTTTAAAATGCGGAGACTATAACTTTTTAAAAGCACAATTAGTATTTCTGCAGACTTCTAGGAATGGGAATTTTTTTAAAAAAAATGCCTGTAGGGGAAGGAGCAGCCCTGGAGAACATTGGCCATGGGCTGTATGATACACATTCCCAGTTTAAAGAATGTTAGAAGGCTGCTATTGCTTGAACTGGCCTTTAGAGACCATCCCCTCCAAAAATACCTTAGAGAGATGAATACTAATCCAAAACTACCTCCAAAACTGAACGATGACACGTGAACCCAACCAATTGTTCAACATAAAGCCTAACAATTTGGTCCTGATAGCATCCCGCCTCCTCCATCTTCTTGCTTGGCATTTTTTCTTCCTTCGAATTTTTTGTACTGGTCAGTCCAGAGTAGGCCTATCTGCAGGGGGATGGGTTTCTCCAAGAAACTTCTAGTGCAAGTATAATAATAACCTTAGAACAGCAGAGCTGGAAGGACCCTGTGGACCATCATTCAGCCTTTGTCAAAGAGACACAGTGACAAATTAAAGTCTCACCCTCTACCTAAAGTTTGAGCTATCCTGAAAATAACAGCTTATTTCCTTTTGTTGGTTACAAAATGTCTGGGAACAGAAGAGAAAATTTATAAGAAATTGAAGAGTGCAGGTGTCTGCAGTGAGGTCTACAACACTGTGTGTGTAAACACGGGGGCTGCATATAGGAAAATTTAGACTGTTTTTTAACGCGTCTAATGATGTTTGTAAGATATCACTACACACGTAGACAAACCTTTAACGTTCTCATTACTACAAACATGATTACTACTCCTATTGTAAAGAACAAAACTGGCAGGCTGAAAAAAAAAAAACCTACTGTAACAGGAAAAAAATGAAAGCAGCTACAGACCGACATAGAGGTGAGATGGAAGCAGGTTGCTTACCTACAGGAACTGAACAGGATCTTGGCCCAGCCCAGGTAATTTGTTTTCAAAACTCATCATGTGTCAGGCATGGGGCAGAAAAGTGACAGATGCTCTGAATAAATAGAGAGTGATAATGTAAGGCAACAGATGCATGTCAGCTCAACTCCTCCCCAGGTGAACACTTACTTAGCTTAGGCCAAACCTCATTTTAAGAAAGCCACCCTCTCAACAACTGCTCATCCAGGCAATTTACTTTCCTTGGGGGAGAATTTCAGCACCAACACTGAAAGGGGGGGGCAGAAAATGGAGTAGGATGTCGAAAGCTATTTTTTTTAATTTGCTGGTGTTATTTTAGCCTGTTCTCTGCTGCTTTTCAAGGGCTGATCGGCCACTTGTTACGCCGCAGCACAGCGACTTCTACGTGTTGTTGGCTGAAGGTGCAAAAACCGACACAAGACACACACGCGCTTCCCTCTCCACCCAAAAACGTGTCAGCGAAACAGGAAAGCGAGAGACAAAAGATTTCCACGGGGCAACGCACTGAAACGCGTCGAGTGGCCGGTTTCAAAGCCCCCCCAAGTAAGGGCGGTATATGAAGATTTGGGACTCCCACACCGTAGCAGGGAGTTCCGCCTACCACCCCTCGGCGGCTCTCCTGCCCCCGCGCCTTGCCCTCTTTTAAACGAGCCCTCTTCGGTCATTCTGAATCTGGTATTAACAGAATTACAGAGGAGAAGGAAGGTTTGCTCTCCCATGCCACTCTCCTGATGTGGGAAGAGGCAGATCTGAAGAGAAGGGTCCTCCTCAGATGTAGACTACACTTCAGCCTTAGAAAATCTGGGTCCTTGCTTACCTGGAGAGTCTATATGTGTATAGGGCCCTTCTCTTCAGATTCATCATTGTTTGCATGAATGAAGGAATGACAAAGAAGGGGAGTGGGGAGCTCTCCACTGCAATCAATGATCATATATTAATGATTCCAGACAGAACAGAGCTTCTGTTAGTTCACAACTCTGAAATGTTTAGCACATCTCTGTAACTTTTTTGTCTAAGTTTTGTTTAAACAAATATTTTCCCCTCTGTTTTTACAAATGCAACTCAGGGAAGATAAATAAATGAAAAGCTTCTTTGGTGAATGCAGAAGAAAGCTAATCAATGATGGTAATAAAGATTGATTGAATGCAGAAGAAAGCTTGGGTAACTGACCAGGACTTTGGTCATCTGGAGCCATCCCTCTATCTGAGTGAACATGGGCTCATATGTTACATATGTCACACCTTAAACTCACTGGAAGATACAATATCAAAGTAACCAATAAAAGAAATACATGTCACAACTTTCTTTGAAGACATTCTAAATTCTAAAGATGATTCTTTGCTATCCTAGAACTTGGTATTCCCAATGAACACATGTGAGTATCTTATCAAAATCTTTCTCCACCCACGGATACATGTCAGCATTGTTCATATGCTATCCAGTTCAAACGAACTGCTATAAGCATTTTACTGAGAAAAATCAATTTTTGGTGAAAGAGCGAAGTTCAAACAGGTAATTACATACCCTCACTTTTCAGCCTTAATTTACAAGCACATGGCATATACTGTAGTACACTGCTCTTAATTGCTTTCAAGTTACTCCCAGTTTTCCATAACATTTTATCCAACAACCTCATAACATAAGATAAAAATCATGTTGAACATATATTACCAAGCAGTAGTGAAGTCAATATGAGAAGCATACCATATTTTGTTACTGTTTTAAAAGGAACATTCTCTGTTAGTACTAATCCACACAAGAACGCTAGATTAGAAAGATTTTACACAGCAATCATGCAGTAACACACTGTAGAACAACGTAGCTATGCTCAAAAGAAAGAAGATCCTGAGTTTGGATAAATCCTCAGTCTCATTTTGCAACAGGTTTGCCATCAAAAGTAGCATCTCCTAAGGAAGACAGAAGCAATATTATGCAGCTTCCTCTCCTCACAAGGTAAAACTCTACCAATAACTGAAGCTGGATGCAGTTTTTGTAAAGTGCTAGAGTCAGTACTTCATTTGTAGTACAAGGGACTCCAATTTGCACAAACACTACAACAAAACAAATCCACATCTGAGTAGATCTGTGATGATTATTCTGTAATGCGAGAAAGTCATTACGTTGAATCCAAACTAAGTTACTTATGATTTAATCCCACTGATATCAAATGAGCTTCCATTAAGACAATATATCACACTGACTTCACTGAGAATTAAGTGTGACCAACTTACTCCCATTAAGTATAACAGCCCAGCCATAAGAGTTGCAGTCAAACAGCATTTGGAATACTGCATGTTCTCCATATGATACATACTATTGTATACACTTAGCTGTGGTTTCCTCTTCAAAGAGTCACAAAACCAGCAGAGGAATGCATTCCATTCCACTGGGATGTGTGTTCTGTGCCATCAAGTCAGAAGAAACTTAGGGCAACCCCTAATAGGGTTTTCAAAGTAAGTGAGATATTTAAGGAGTGGTTTTACCAGTTTCACTCCCCCAGTGATTTTCCATGGCAATGTAGGGAGTCAAACCCTGTTCTCCAGAATCTAAGTCTGACACTCTATCCACAATACAATGGGAATCATTCCAGTGAGAAGGGATGGCCTATGGAGAATTCAACAGTCCTATGTGTCTCTGCTCAGAAGTAAAGTGCTATTAGATGACCAGAAGCGAGGAAATAGCAATTTTCCACAAAGAACAAGCCTAAACGCTGAGACTTGCAAATATTTTGAAAAGAAATTTCAAGACTCAACCCTATGACTTCAGATTAAGGACAACACATTCTTTAACCAACTGCTGAGGACTTTACTGAAGTTTCAGATATTAATAGAAAGGGCAATATGTTCTTGTAGTTTTGCCTACCATCACCACACTCTAAATTTGGCACATCAGGATTAACAAGATACAACAAGCCAGTCCGCAACTTCTCAACATGAACATGCCATATCATGGTGAGTTCAACCCAACTTACAGCTATCTGAGTGTTAAGATCTTTAATTACATCAGAGACTGCTGTAGGACCATTGAATGGAGAAGCCATTTGAGAGAGAGAGAGAAAGAGAGAAAGAAAAAGAAAAGAAAGAAAAAGTTCCTGCAAGCAAACATAATGGTTAACAAATTTTCCTCCGTCATTGCAAATCCTTAAAAATTACTCTAAAGTATTTTGCATTACTGTTACTACACAGGAACAATAGACGCTCCAAGTCACCAAACCATATAACATAGGGGTCTCTTTTTGGTTAAAATGGATCCATACAGGAAATTCAATGTTTTTTAATGCAATGTGTTTCAAAGACAGGGTCCACGGGTTGATTCCTCACCACTAAAACCCATCAGAAGTACATGA